TCTCTCTCTCTCTCTCTCTCTCTCTCTCTCTCTCTCTCTCTCTCTCTCTGTGCATCTCAAGTAATGCGCATAATTTAAATATATTTATTATACTTCTCGTTAATCCGCTGAAGGACAAATAAGCAGCTCAACGCCTGATTTCCAGTCGAGACTTTAGTCAAATTTTGTTCTCAATCGAGTTGGCTGTGCCCATGCTCAGATTATTTCACTGATCCAAGTTGGCAGTGCCCATGTTCGAATTTGGTATTTGATCCAAGTAGGCTTGTGCCAAGCTCCGAGCTAGGGAGTGAGGCGAGCTCACACAATATTCACAGTCAGTATTCACAGCTCAACCGGAGCGGGTGAAAACTGCCTAAAATTCTAAATTTTTTTTGTGAAAATCGAATTTTGGAAATGTTTCAATTTTTTCGGTCCATTTATTTTTCTCGGTTTTTTTTTCATCACTTTTCGTAAAATCAAGTAAAATGTAAATTCAGTTTCTCAAAATGCTTCGCCGGACGTTTGGCAAAAAGTACAAAATTTGTGTTTATTATTTCCATTTATATTAATTATATTCAAATACAAGTAAGTACATATTTTACACAATGTTTTTTTTTTTTTTTTTTTTTTTTTTTTTTTTTTTTTTTTACATAAATGAATTATTTCATCCATATTGAAATATCCCTTGCTCGATGGGCTCAGGGGATTTCGTAGTCGAGCAGTCTCGACTAGAAGAGCTTTCTTACTCGTTTTAATTTAAATATTGTTTTTTTATTTTAGATCCTGCGGTCAACTTATATATACATATATACAAATGCATCGCCAGAGAGAGGAGTTGGCTTTCAAGGTCAAACTTACAAAGGTGAGATATGCAGTTTATAGCCTTGACATTACATTTGACTAATCCAGATTTCGATTTTCGATTTAGATGCGAACCAAAATAACACCTATCATTCAATGATGCAAACAATGTAAATTGGCCTTCTAAGCCTGGGGGAGCGCCTATTCTCTGTCGGTATCTGGCGGATGTCAGCGTAAACTACGAACATCAACGCAACTGAATTAAACGGAATAAAACAAACCACTGCAACAAGAATTATCAATACATCAAGAAATTCAAATGCATATACGCATATATACATATAGTAGTATATGTTTTTATAACTATATATATGTATATTCAAAGGAATGAACAAAGACAGTTATGGTTACCTAGATATGTACATCCAAACATATATGTATATATATATATGTATATATGTATAAAATATGCTTCGAGTCTCATCCATCACCATATCATAAATATAAGAACGCGTTTGCCACTCCTTATAGGTTACACATACCTAAAAGACAAAAAAAAAAAAAAAACATATGTAAGTATTTCCTAAGATATCTGATAAGATAATTCATAATCTAAAGATTCTACTTTACATTCTTCTAGCACAAGCAACAGCCTCTGTGTGTGTGATATGTTTCATCAATCGGATGAATATCGATTGCAAACTATCCAAAAATAGGTTTCAAACATACCTACTACATACCTACTACATACCTTTATACCTAAATTAGCAATATCTTGATTGGTTCTCTCAATGTCATCTTCAATTCGTAAGTATACCATATATGTATTATACAATTGTATTCAAATGTTTCGGTGTGCAGTTACTACGCGGGACGGTACCGCGCTCTGAGCAGAGCGCTGCAGTTAGCGTCGTACGCGAAAAATCTTCTAGTAAGGAACCTCAATGAGATCCAATCCGTACAAAAGAGCGCACAACTACCGATTCTAACTAATATAACGATAAAAAACGACAAACTAGGAAAACACATGAACACGAAACTATCGAAGTTTCGTTAGCCGGTCTTAAAGTCAAAACTGTTATCAAGATTCAACTTCTCAAACAAAAAAAAAAACACATAATTCGAGTTGGTTTTCAGGTAAGCAACAAATAATTATTTCTCTCTTTGTTATATTGTATTATATGAAGTTCTTTCTCTTGCAGGACGGTACCACGCCCCTTTACTTGATGCCGGGGACGTGTGCTCGCGCCCTGTTTTAATGGAGTAACTGTTATTAAAAAAAAAAAAAAACAACAAAAATGTTTCAAATAAATATCTTCGATTATTTGAACACCAAAAATTTTATTCTTTTTTCATTTATTCGGTAATCGTTCAGGAAATATTCCTCTTAGCTATTTCAATGGACTATGGAGTGTAATTTGTGGACTATGGACTGTGGATTATGGACTATGGACTATGGACTATGGACTATGGACTATGGACTATGGACTATGGA